CATTGTTTTTGTGCTGTTTGTTTTATTTAGTGAGTTGCCTCATGCATGTCTGTCTGTCTGTCTGTCTATATCTATGTATCTATGTCTCTCTCTCTCTCTCTCTATCATCTATCTATCATCTATCTATCTATCATCTATCTATCATCATCTATCATCTATCTATCTCTCTATATCTATCTATTTATCTCTCTATCTGTCTGTCTGTCTGTCTCCATTACGGTATGACAAGATTCACTGGAAGAGACAATAGTACTAGGAAAAGTTGAAGGCAGTAAGAAAGGAATACCCAGCATGTGATGGATTGTCTCAATAAAGAAAGCCGTTGCCTTCAGTTTGCAAGACCTTTTAACGATAGACTCTCTTAGAGGTTGTTAATTCATAGGATTGCCATAAATTGAAAGTGACTTGGTGGCATATAACACACACAGGTGTGTTGATGATCTACATACTTCAATCATCCTTACTTTTCAGTGCATTGGTAACAGGCCACCTCTACCAGGTACCTGTGTGTGTATGTGTGTGTGTGTGTGTGTGTGAAGTGCCATCAAGTCACTGGCAACTCATGGCAGCCATATGAATCCATGTCCTCCAAGGCTGGGGTTAGGTTTAGGGTTAGGGCTAGGGTTAGGGGTTAGGGTTAGGGTTATGATTAGGTTTATGTTTATATTTAGGTTTATGTTTACGGTTGGGTTTAGGGTTAGGGCTAGGGTTAGGGCTATGGGTACTGGTAGGGTTCGGGCTAGGGTTTGAGTTAGGGTTAGGGCGAGGGTTAGGATTAGGGCTAGGATTATGGTTAGGGTTAGGGGTTAGGGTTACGGTAAATGTTAGCTTTAGGTTTAGTTTTAAAATTAGGGTTAGGGTTAGAACTAGGGCTAGTGCATAGGGTTAGGTTTAGGGCTAGGGTTAGGATTAGGGGTTAGGGTTAGGGTTCGGGTTAGTTTTTAGGTTAAGGTTTAAGGCTAAAGCTAGGATTAGGGTTCGGTTTAGGTTTTGAGCTAGGGTTAGGGTTAAGGGTTAGGGCTAGGGTTAGGGCTATGGGTACTGGTAGGGTTCGGGCTAGGGTTTGAGTTAGGGTTAGGGCTAGGGTTAGGATTAGGGCTAGGATTATGGTTAGGGTTAGGGGTTAGGGTTACGGTAAATGTTAGCTTTAGGTTTAGTTTTAAAATTAGGGTTAGGGTTAGAACTAGGGCTAGTGCATAGGGTTAGGTTTAGGGCTAGGGTTAGGATTAGGGGTTAGGGATACGGTTCGGGTTAGTTTTTAGGTTTAGGTTTAAGGCTAAAGCTAGGATTAGGGTTCGGTTTAGGTTTTGAGCTAGGGTTAGGGTTAAGGGTTAGGGCTAGGGTTAGAGCTAGGGTTGGGGTTAGTGTTAGTGTTAGGGCTAGGGTTAGGTTTAGGGCTAGGGTTAGGGTTAGGGTTGGGGTTAGGGTTAGGGTTCGGGTTAGTTTTTAGGTTTAGGTTTAAGGCTAAAGCTAGGATTAGGGTTCGGTTTAGGTTTTGAGCTAGGGTTAGGGTTAAGGGTTAGGGCTAGGGTTAGAGCTAGGGTTGGGGTTAGTGTTAGTGTTAGGGCTAGGGTTAGGTTTAGGGTTGGGTTTAGGTTTAGGGTTAGGGCTAGGGTTAAGTTTAGGTATAGGGTTAGTGTTTAGGTTTAGGGCTAAAGCTAGGGTAGGGCTAGGTTTAGGGTTAAGGGTTAGGGGTTAGGTTTAGGGTAGGGCTATGCTTAGGGCTAGGGTTGGGGTTAGGGTTTAAGGTTACAGTTAGGGTTAGGTTTAGGGTTATGTTTAGGGTTAGGGCTAGGTTTAGGGTAAGGGTTAGGATTAGAGGTAGGGCTAGGGCTAGGCGTATGGTTAAGGTTAGGGGTTAGGATTACGGTAAATGTTAGCTTAGGTTAAGGGTTTGGGTTAGGGTGAGGGTTAGGGTTAGGGCTAGGTTTAGGGCTAGGTTTAGGGTTAGGTTTAGGGATAGGGTTGGGGTTCGGGTTAGTTTTTAGGTTTAGGTTTAGGGCTAAAGCTAGGGTTAGGGTTAGGTTTTTGTTTTGAGCTAGGGTTAGGTTTAGGGCTAGGGTTGGGGTTAGGCCTAGGGTTAGGGCTAGGGTAAGGGTTAGGATTAGAGTTAGGGCTAGTGCTAGTGCTAGGATTAGGGCTAGGGTTAGGGGTTAGGGTTAGGGTTACAGTAATTGTTAGCTTTAGGCTTAGTTTTAAACTTAGTGTTAGGGCTAGGGTTAGGGCTAGGGTAAGGGTTAGGATTAGAGTTAGGGCTAGTGCTAGTGCTAGGATTAGGGCTAGGGTTAGGGGTTAGGGTTAGGGTTACAGTAATTGTTAGCTTTAGGCTTAGTTTTAAACTTAGTGTTAGGGCTAGGGTTAGGGTTAGAACTAGGGCTAGTGCTTAGAGTTAGGGTTAGGTTTAGAGATAGGGTTAGGGTTCGGGTTAGTTTTTAGGTTTAGGTTTAGGGCTAAAGCTAGGGTTAGGTTTAGGTTTTGAGCTAGGGTTAGGGTTAAGGGTTACGGTTTGGTTTAGGGTTAGGGTTAGGGCTAGGTTTTGGGTTAGGGTTTAGGGTTAGGGTTTAGGGTTACAGTTGAGGTAAGGTTTAGGGTTAGGGTTTAAGGTTAGGGTTGGGTTTAGGTTTAGGGGTAGGGTTCGGGGTAGGGTTTGAGTTAGGGTTAGGGCTAGGGTTAGGGTTAGAGTTAGTTTTAGGGTGATGGTTAGGGTTAGGGCTAGGTTTAGGTATAGGGTAAGGGTTAGTGTTTAGGTTTAGGGCTAAAGCTAGGGTTAGGTTTAGGATTAAGGGTTAGGGTTTAGGGTTAGGTTTAGGGCTAGGGCTATGGTTAGGGTTGGGGTTTGTGTTAAGGTTAGGGCTAGGGTTAGGGTTAGTGTTAGTGTTAGAGCTAGGTCTAGGGTTAGGGCTAGGGTTAGTGTTAGGTTTAGGGCTAGGGTTAGGGTTAGGCCAAGGAGCTTTGAGGGTGTAGCCTTTTCGATGGCTTTATGCCAGAGAATCGAGGCTCCCCCTTGCTCCAGTGGTTTGTCCCACCGAGATACCGAATGGTACAAGTGAAGCTAACAGGGCAACCGCTGGCCCATGTGTCAAAAAAGTTCAATAACTCTGAAAAGAATTGGTCTGTGTGGGAAAAGGAGGCAGGGGTAATAAAAATGGCGCTTTCTACCTGGATACATTGGCTGGAAGGGGCTCGGGTGTCCTTCGAGGTGCGGACGGATCACAAAAACTTGGAGACTCTGAAAACGCCTCGCTGCTTGAATGCAAAGCAATTGCGTGGGGCAGATTTCTTCTCTAAGTTTCAGTTCACCCTCCACCATTTTCTGGTCTCGGCAAACTCGTTAGCTGACGCCCTCTTGCGCCTCCCCCAACATGACAGCCAATGGGATGTCATCCTGGATTCGGTATTCACACCAGCCCAACTGGGGGGGGTGACGGCTTGCAGCCAGGCGGCCAACCTCTCTACCCCTCGGCCAGTTGAGCTCCACCCCACTGGCGCCAACGTGGGCTGACCAGTTCAACTCCGCCTTCTCGGAGAGAGACAAAGAACTTTTAAAGGGGGTGGAGGATTGTACACAGGGGGGAAATGGCTGTTGGTACCGGGACCATAAACTTTATGTGCCACAATCACTCCGGGGGGAGGTGATGGAATCTGTCCACGGCTCAAAACTGGCGGGGCATTTTGGCTTTGTGAAATCTCTGCAATTATTACAGAGGCAATTCTGGTTGCCACACATGCGCAAGGATTTATCTTCGATCGTTCAATCCTGTCAAGTGTGTGCGATGAGCAAGCCTCGTCCTGGGAAAGTTCCAGGACTTTTAAAGCCCCCACCCACCCCTACCCGACCTTGGGAGGTTTTTTTGATGGATTTTATTACCGATCTGCCACCCAGTAAATCTATGACCGTCATCTGGGTGGTGGTGGACCTATTTTCAAAACAAGCGCACTTCATCCCTTTCACCTCCCTACCCACAGCAAAAGCCCTTGCCAAAGCCTTCCTGACCCATGTTGTGCACCTCCACATGCTACCGGCCAAAATTATCTCCGACAGAGGAACGCAATTCGTTTCCAAATTTTGGAGTGAATTAATGAAACTTATGGGGGTGGAAAGGGGCTAAGTAGTGCCTACCACCCAGAGACTGACAGGCAAATGGAAAGGGTTAATCAAAACTTGGAACAGTATCTGCGTTGCTTTACCAACTACCAACAAGATGATTGGAATTATTTGTTACCTCTTGCTGAATACTGTTACAATGAGTTTAACCTTGTTGCTATTAAAGATGAGAATAGTTTAAAATCCACATTGAGTAAGGAGATGGGCCTATAGGATGTAACTACTGTGGGGTCTTTTTCAGGTTTTGGTAAGATGACTATCATTGCTTGTTTCCAAGTTGGTGGGAGATTGCCATGTTCTAAAACATAATTACTAGCTGTAGTAAAAGGCTTTACCAAAAGACTTACATATTTTTTATAAAAATCGGAAGTAAATCCTTCCGGACCTGGTGCTTTATTGATTTTAAATTTTTTGATGGCCTGTACTACTACTTTTTCTGTAATTAGAGCCTCCATTATTGCTTTATGCTCCAGGGAGAGTTTAGTTGTATTATAATTTTGTTCCAAAATTTTTTTAATTAAATCTACATCTATGTTTTTGTCATCATATAAATGTTTGTAATATTCCAAAAATTGTTGCGTTATACTTTCAGTAGTAAAATTTAAATTTCCCCTTTTGTCTTTTATAGCCATAATTCTATTTGTCTCTTTCCTTTGTTTAACTCTCCTTGTTAAATATTTTACTGCTCTTGACGTATTTTGCCAAGATTTTTGCTTTAGATATAATAAATTCCTCTGTATTTGTGTACTATCCACAATTTCAAGTTCTCTTCTCAAGGATATTAACTTCTTATAAATTTTTTTATTTCCTGTACGTTTATGTAGTGTTTCTAAATTAGTGATTTCTGTTACTAATTGCGTTCTTTTTTTCTCCCTTTCCTTTTTTAAATATGCAGCTTTGGCTACCAATTGCCCTCGGAGGACCGGCTTAAAAGCATCCCATATGATAGATGGACTAACATCATCTGTTATATTTTCCTCAAAATACGTTTTAATAGCTGTTTCCATCTCTATAGCACATTCTTGATTTTCTAATAAATATTTCTGCAAGACCCATGTTATCTGTTTTTTATCTGCATTTAACTCAAATGTGCATTCTACCCAATTATGATCTGACCATTGTAAAGTACCAATGGTTGAAGATTGCACTTTAGCTAACAACGCTGGGGATATTAAAATATAATCTATACGTGTGTAAATCTTATGAACTTGTGAAAAGTATGTATAATCCCTTTCCCCTCTATGAAGCTGCCTCCACACATCTATAAGGTTATACTGTTCCAATAAATCTGCTAATGGGGATGGTTTAGAAATTGCCTTCCTTTTTTTATTCTGTTTTCTACTATCATAAGATCTGTCTAAAGCAGAATTTACAATAAAATTTAGATCCCCACCAATAATAAGTTCTCCTTCCTGGAAGGAGTCTAACTCATGCAGAACAGACCTAAGAAATAAAATTTGATTTGTGTTTGGCGCATATATTACAATTAAGGTCAGAACAACATCATTAATACATCCAGTAACAAATAGAAACCTACCATTGGATCTTTAAGGGATTTCATATAGGGAAATTTAGTGGTACTTGATATTAAGATTGCCACACCTCGAGCTTTTGATGAACCATGTGCTTGATACTGATGACTATACTTGCTTGAGTTGAAGATAGTAGGAAACTTAGCTGATGTGTGAGTCTCCTGTAGGAACACTACATTGGGTTGTTCCCTGTTAAGTTGTGCATAAATTCAACATTATGAGATTTCTAAGATACTAGACTCAAAACGCAAACATGGAAAAATGTTGTATTTGGTGGAATGGAAAGACTTTGGACCCCAGCACCTCGAATGGGTGGAAGTAGGGGATATTCGGGCCCCTCAGTTGATCCGCAGGTTCCACCGGGAGTTCCCGGAAAAACCAGGAGATCTCCTGGATTGACTGGGAAACATCTGGATTTTGGGGGAGGGAGCTGATTTTCGAGGGGGCAGTATGTCAGCGAGCTGCCAAATGTTTTTTTGTTCTCCCTTTCATGCGCATTCCTTTCCTTGCACTTAATTGCTTTGCTGCCGCAACGTGTATCTTTCAAGGTCGCTGGAGGAGTTGCTGGAGAGGTTGCTTTGGCTTTCCCTGGGATGAGTCGTGGGAAGCTTTACCTGTTTGTTCCTTATTACTGTTACTTCTCAGGTCATTGGATCTTATTGATTTGAATGTACTATAACCTGTCATGCTCTTAGATCACTCGCCATTCCTAAAACCTTCTTGCAAGTGTGTACTTCGTTGTTGCTGTGGGTCCTGACATAGGCCTAGGTTTGTCAGCCTCCAGGTGGGACCTGGAGATCCCCCAGAATTACAACAGAGATCTCTTCCCCCTGGAAAAAATGGATGGACTCTGTGGCATTATGTCCATCTGAGGCCTCTCCCCTCCCCAAACTCCACACTCCCTAGACCTCACCACAGAATCTCTAGGAATTCCCCAGCCTGGAGCAGACAATCCTAGTCCCAGGCCTGGGTCCAACGCGCCCCCCCCCCGCTATGAAGCCATTCATACTGCAGGAGGAATCCTTCCCAATCCCAGATCCAGTTCCGCTTTTTGCTTCCTCCCCCCCCCCCAGCTATCAGCCAGTCCATCTCTCACTGTTGATGCAGCAGGGCCAGAGCCCAGAGTTAATCCCTGCAGTGGCCATTTCAAAAGGTATTGGTGGTGGTGGTGGGGTTCAACCCTCCCATGACAATGCTAACAACCCATTGTCACTCCTGTTGCTATCAATGAGGGGCTGAAAGCCTGCTTTCCTTCCCTCCTCAGCAGTGGTGACAGAGATAGGGACAACATCAACTGTGGGGATGACTTCTGTGGTCCTTGACAATGTGCTAGGAACTGATGCTTTGCTAAGCATCCACCAGAACTGTCTGTGTTGGATTAGACAGAGAATCCCTGTGGTTGCCCTTGGGAAGTAGTTTAGCAGAGAAGGATAGAGCTAGCCATGGATTTGTAATTTATCTTTTTTTATTTATGTTTAGAAAACTCAAGGAGAGACAGACAGTCAGAGATAAACATATATCCATTGTTTTATTCCTAGTATTAAAGCTTTATCTCTAGTGTTTTACTAACAGCTCTTGCCTGAGTACTTCAATTGATTAGTATAGATGGGAAAGAAACTTTCTCCTGATCCATTTCCATGCATGATGTGCATCAATAGTTGCTGAGTCAGCTAGGTACCACTTGCTAATTGAACACTGGGCTTGTCCGATATTGGTTGGTCTTGTTCCATCCTGCTCTCTGCTTGTGGTTCAGTTTGATCACAGAACATATTCTTCTTTCATGTCAGCTCAACTCTCTGTTGTGGTAGATCTCGCCTCACCACAGAAGGTTATGCTAGGTGACCTTTGAAGTCATCACCAAACACTACTGTGCTATGATCCATGGTTATGGAGGCTGCTTCTTTGATTTCATGCCCAAATGAGACAGACGGGTGATGGAGTCTCTTAACTAATTGCTCCATATGTGGAACGTGCTTGTCTTTCCTTCTCCAGCTGCCTGTCACTGGGATTATTGTTGATTGAATAGCTTTGCTAGGAAAGCTGTGTTTTCCTAAGGCCATGACTTAAACCTAATGGGGCAGGGAGGGGAGAAGGGGGGGGTTCTGTAGGCTGCCTGTATTATATATATACAGAGACCCTTGTTAGCTCTGATGGCCACCACATGCTGGGAGTAGCTGACCCTCACCCTGATCTGTCCCCTGAAATTAGAAGATGGAGAAGCTATTTATTAGGTGGTTTGGGGGGGGGGAGTGTTTGGCAGGGCTGAGTAGAACAGCCAGAGAAACAGTCAAAGGTTTTATTTGTGTGTTTAGTAAGAAGAGAAGGGAGAAAGTCCCAAAAGTCAGTTTAAGTAAATCAGTGGGACATGGCTGGAATTCCAAAGTGTCATTAAACACTGCTTTGCACAAATAAACAGAACACAAAAGAGTACAGGACGGGCTTGAGTGGTAAGTGGGAAACTCCTGGGTTCCAATCTCATCTCAGTGCTGGATTTGCTCAGTCTTGCAATGGCGTCCTAGGAAGAGTTGCACCATTCGACATCCAGTAAAGTCAATGGGTTAAGGAGGATGCCGTCCTGTTTAGGATGGCACTATTAGGTTCTCAGTATCAGCCCTTTGTCTGCAGTATCTCTCCCTTATTATAATTGAATAGCAACGTTCTATATTGCAACGTTCTAAATTTGGCCCCTTTAGTGTTAGGCCGGAAGAACTGCCACTCAGAAGTCACTGGCTGGGTTGACTGGCTGCTTTGTGCAGTCTCGCCCAGCGTTCCAAGGTCATTTGCATATGGAAGCTGATTGGACTTCACTCCATTCCACACCTCAAAGGCAGTTGGAATTTTCAGTTGCATAACATACCTCATAGGGGAGAGGAGAATGATGTCAGCTGCTTTGGTTACCACTGCAGGGAAAGGCTGCCCTTTCCCTAGGCAGAGGCTGGGGGGGTGGGGTTGTAAAGACAGACAGGCAGATAAAGGTTGGCTGATGGTAGCCAGGAAAGGACATAGGGTTGCCAACTCCAGGTTGGAAATTTCCAGGATATTTTAGGGATGAAGCCTGCTGAGGGTGGGGTCTGAGGAGGAGGAGGAAGAGGGGGTTACAAGATATTTTGTGATCTTTTTCCAGTTTTTTAATATCTAAAATTATCTTCTGTTTGATGCTGTTAAGCTTTCTTTTATGGGCTGCCTCTAACGAAATTATTTTGCCCCTCAGGACTGCCTTATAGGCGTCCCAGATTACGTTTATTGGGGAATCTTGTAAAGTGTTAAAGGTAAAATATTCCTTAGTATCTATAACTATTTGTTTAAGTATGTCTGGATTTTTTAATAGGAAATTATTTACACGCCAAGTGAAGCTTCTATCTGCTTTGGTGTTAAAATTAAATTTGCAAATGACTGCGGCATGGTCCGACCAACCCATTGGATCAATGTCCGCAAAGACAAGATTATTGACCAAATCCTTAGAAATTAAAATGTAGTCTATTCGAGAATAGGATTGATACCTATTTGAAAAAAAAGTAAAGTCGTGTTCACCGTCATGCAAAAATCGCCAAGAATCTGTGAGGCCGTATTTAATAAAAAGCTTATGTAGGCCCATAAATCCATCTTGCGTAGCGTGTCTTAGGCTAGGAGTGTACAATGAACTTTTCCTATCTAGCATCGGGTGAACTACATAGTTTAGGTCTGAACCAATAATTAATGTACCTTCTTGGAAATTTTGTATTTTCTCAAATGTCTCCTTAATAAAGGTAAGCTGCCCCGAATTGGGGGCGTATATTACTGCTAAGGTTACCGTTTTTCCATTTAGCAATCCTTTAAAAATTAGGTATCTTCCTTGTGGATCCTGTATTTTGTCGGTAAGGGAAAATTTGTTACGCTTTGAAATTAGAATGATAACTCCCCGTGCCTTTGAAGAGCCCGGTGCATCAAAGCACTGTGGGAAATATGAGGATTTAAAAAGTAGGTTTTTCTGGTTTCTTAAATGGCTTTCCATCAGGAAAACTATATCAGATTTGTGAGATTTCAGGTAGTTGTGTATCCTTCTCGCTTTAATAACGTTATTGACCCCTCTACAATTAAGCTAAAGATAAAACTGTAAGATTATCAGCCATTGTTTTTCTTGGGAGAGTGATGTAAAATCCAGCTGATAACTACTTTCGACTGATTGTTTTGTGCAAAGAGTTTACCCTTGATATGGAATAGATTGCGTAAGTCATCTACTATGTGTTGAGTCTTAAGAGTTGAGCGACTCAGCCAATGAATACAGCCAGAATAAGGCTTTGTGGCTGAGAGCTGGCCAGCCAAAAAAATGAGCATTCGTCCTTCCTTAAAGATTAAGTATGAAGTTATGAGAGATTTTTTTTGAATGTCATTTACTTTCAACCCAAACTTTAATACTTTTTCAAATGTCAAACAAACCAAAAAGATTAACTTGAAAAACCTTATGCGTCGTATAATTGCCCCGTATAGCCGTCCTATCAGTTGCATTACCCTCCCCCTCCCCCTTTCCCGCCATTTGTAAAGACATAAAGTCCCAGAGTAACATAGAGCACAAATCATATATAATTCAGAACTCGTTTCGGAATTCCAACCCCCCTCCCCCCTCCCAACTTCCCCCCTTCCCCCCGTTGCATCCCAACTTATCAAAAAAAGTGCTTATTATATAGAAATACAAAAACCTAGAAAACGTTAAGCACTGTAAGCCAAACTTATACCTCATGAGGTTCGGGTGGTCGGGGGCCTTCATGGTCCTTCCCAACCGAACGGGGCTCAGAGAACCCCCCCACACGAGTAAAACTCCCTCTCCCCGAGAGCCCTGGGAAACAGCAACCCCCAAACAATCCAACTCCCCAAGTCAAAAACTATTT